TATTTTATCTAGGCCCATTTTATCTTGCCAAACACAATGTAAACACCAGGAAACTATGATCTGAGATATTTAAAACAGATAACACTGTTCATCTGGTAATTTTGTTTTTAAAGATTTATTTATTTATTTGAAAGTCAGAGTTACAAAAGAGAGGGAGAGACACACACACACAGAGATATCTTCCATCTGCTGGTTCACTCCCTGAATGGCCTTAACGGCCAGGGCTGGGCTAGGCCAGGCCAAAACCAGGAGCCAGGAGTTTCATCTGGATCTCCCACATCAGTGCAGGGGCACAAGCATTTGAGCCATGTTCTGCTGCTTTCCCAGGCACATTAGCAGGAAGCTTGATTGGAGCAGCAGGGACTAGAACCGGCACCCATATGGGATGCTGGTGCTGCGTATGGTGGCTTAACTTGCTGTGCCACAGCACCGGTCCCTCATCTGGTGATTCTAAGCAAATTGATTTTCTCTTTCATCTGTCATAGTCAAGCGTTGCATTAATAGAGTAGCGAGGCAGTATCATGTGAAGAAGAGAACAGTTGACTAGGGGGTAGGTTTTGTGGCACAGCAGATTAAGCTGCCACTTGGGATGCCGGCATTCTGTAACGAAGTGCCTGAGATGGAGTCTGGCCTACTGTTTCTTATCCGGCTTCCTACTAATGCACATGCTGAAAGGCGGCATGTGATGGCTCAAATACTTAGGTCCCTGCCACACACATAGGAGACCGGGATGCAGTTTCTGTCTCCTGGCTTAATTTTGGCCCATCCCTGGATGTTGCAGGCATTAGGGGAATGAAGCAAATATGAAGCAACATTTGAAAGTGAGGCAACATATGTAAGCTATCTCTCAGGGCCAATATGTGGCAAAGTGGGTTAAGCTGCTGCCTGAAATGCTGGCATCCCAGTATGGGTGCCAGTTCAAGTCCTGGTTGCTCCACTTCCAATCCAGCTATCTGCTAATGTTCCTAGGAAAGCAGCAGATGATCCAAGTGCTTGGGGCCTCAGCACCATGTGGGAAAACTTGGATGAAGCTCCTGGCTCCTGACTTGAGTCTGGCCCAATCCCAGCCACTGTGACCATTTGGAGAGTGAACCAGCAGATGAAGATTCTCTCTCTCTCTCTCCCATTCTTGATCTGTAACTCTGCCTTTCAAATAAATTAAATTAAATTTTAAAAAGATCCCTTTTTCTGTCTTCTGTTCCTCCACTTTTTAAATAAAGAAAATAAATTTTAAAAAGAATAGTTGACTAGGGGGCCAGCCCTGTGGCACAGTGGGTTAAAGCCTTGGCCTGAAGCACTGGCATCCCATATGGGCACCAGTTCTAGTCCTGGCTGCTCCTCTTCCAATCCAGCTCTCTGCTATGGCCTGGGAAAGCAGTAGAAGATGGCCCAAGTCCTTGGGCCCCTGCACCTGCATGGGAGACCTGGAAGAAGCTCCTGGATCCTGGTTTCGGATCGGCACATCTCTGGCCATTGCTGCCATCTGGGAAGTGAACCAGCAGATGGAAGACCTCGCTCCGTCTCTACCTCTCTCTGTAACTCTGTCTTTCAAATAAATAAAATAAATCTTTAAAAAAAATAGTTGACTAGGAGTGAGAATATCTGGAGATAAGTGTCAGTTCTTTTTTTAAAATATTTATTTATTTTATTTGAAAGTCAGAGTTACACACACACACAGAGAGAGAGAGAGAGAGAGAGAGAGAGAATGTCTTCCATCCGCTGCTTCACTCCCCAATTGTCTGCAATGGCTTGAACTGGGCCAATCTGAATCCAGGAGCCAGGAGCTTCATCCAGGTCTCCCACGTGGGTGCAGGGGCCCAAGGACTTGGGCCATCTTCTACTGCTTCCCTAGACCATAGCAGAGAGCTGGATTGGAAGTGGAGCAGCCAGGACTCAAACCAGTGCCCATATGGGATGTCAGCATGGTAGGTTTTACTCATTATGCCACAGCACTGGCCCCTCAGTTCTGTCTTTAAACAGATATATGGTCCTTGAGCAAGTCGCTTAGCCTCTCTTGTCTTAATCTACCCATCTAAAGAGAATTGGCCTAGAAGAACTCTCTAACAGTCATTTCAAGTTCTAAAAATACTATTATTCCATGAACATTCATAATGTGTTAAACCAAAAGTGAGGCCAAATTCCAATATGGAATTTTATCCAATATGGTTCGATTTTGGATAGTGAAGTACTTTCCTCAGAGAATTATTTCTTTTGTAGATCAGTTAATCCAATGACTCCAAAATTAGTGTTCCATGAAATACTGCTTCTTGAGATATTAACAACATAATATAAAATGTGTTTGGGTCTCAAAGAAATTTGAGAAATAAAATATTAAACAAAATCAGTAAGATATCTCTACTGTAGGACTTAGAGACTTTACTATGTTAACACATATTGGGAATGCCACACAAAGGCAATATATTATGTAATGCTCTCCCATTTCATTCATTTCATGAATTAAGAAGCCCCTACTAGTATCACTTGTTTTTTGTTTTGTTTTGTTTTGTTTGTTTGTTTTTTGTTTTTTGACAGGCAGAGTGGATAGTGAGAGAGAGAGAGAGAAAGGTCTTCCTTTGCCGTTGGTTCACCCTCCAATGGCCGCCACGGCTGGCGCGCTGCGGCCGGCGCACCGCGCTGATCTGAAGGCAGGAGCCAGGTGCTCATCCTGGTCTCCCATGGGGTGCAGGGCCCAAGCACTTGGACCATCCTCCACTGCACTCCCGGGCCACAGCAGAGAGCTGGCCTGGAAGAAGGGCAACCGGGAAAAAAAATCCAGCGCCCCGACCGGGACTAGAACCCGGTGTGCCGGCACCGCTAGGTGGAGGATTAGCCTATTGAGCCGCAGCGCCGGCCTAGAAGCCCCTACTAGTATGACATGTAATTAGGGGTTCCTTGAGCATTCTTTGGAAAACACAGATCTAATCTACTCTGTCATTTTACAGATGGAATAAGAAGGGTTCTCTAGGGCCTGTTTGGGGAGGGTGGTAGGGGAACCAGTGCCTCAAGAAAAATGGGCCTCAGGATTCTGGAGTAATATCCAACAATTGAAAAACTCTGCCTGTGTTTTCTCAGTCTTTCACCAGGCACTTGAGTGCTTTCAAACCCAGGAACAAATTTAAACACAGGGGCCAATGGCATGGCCTAGTGAGTAAAGCCTCTGTCTGTAACCACCATCCCATATGAGTAGTCCTGGCTGCTCCACTTCCCAGTCAGCTCCCTGCTAATGGCCTGGGAAAAGCAAAGAAGATGGCCCAGATACCTGGGGCCCCTGCACCCATGTGGGAGACCCAGAAGAAGTTCCTGGCTCCTGGCTTTGGCCTGACCCAGCACTGGCCATGTGGGCATCTGGCGAGTAGGCCAGCAGATAGAAGACCCTTCTCCCTTTCTCCCTGTTACTCTTTCGAAATAAATAGATAAATCTCAAAAAAAAAAAAAAATTTAAACACAAGCACTCCTTTACAGATTTTAAAAGATTTTCTAATCCTCAAGGAGCCTAGGAGGTAAGTATAAGCATTGGCTGGAGCTCAAGCATAAGCCTTAGAGCAAGAACTAAGAGTCTCACCGAACATAAAAGGGAGTGAGTTTCCGTGGCAAAATAACTCCTTGCATTGTGCAACAGTAATGTGATAATAGACCACTCACATTTGTATAATTCTTTCTAATAAATACTTTTGCAATATCATTCAATTTCATTCTTATAAACATCTAGTGAAGAAAATCAAGGGAAGAGACATTATCCCCATTTTATGGGAGAAGAAACCGATCATCACACAGCGAAGTTAATGGCAGAGTAGGAATGTAAAACTAAATTTCCTGTCTCTCAGGTTAGGTCTTTTCTCAAAATATTATCACATAAACTGGGAAAATTTTGACTGTGAGCCAATTTAAGACTTCCATGAAGCATCCAGACATCTCAAATTGACTAACTAAAAAATGGATTTATTCTCAGACTGCTCATAGGTGGTGAGGCAGAAAAAATACCCTAATTTCTGAAATTTCAAAATGCTACTTGGGATCAGTATAGTAATACCTCCTGGAGACCTAAGTTGCAAGGAGGAGGGGGTTTTAGAAAGTTTTAGAGAGGGGTTTAGAAAGTTCCCACAGTGGAGTCACAGACTTAGGGTTGAATCCTGACTCTACCACTTACTCATATTATGATTTTATTTGCTATTTAACATTTCAATGCTTCATTTCTTCACCTATGAAATGAACTAAGAATATCTATTCTGCAACATTATTAAGAGGCCAAGGAAATAGAGGGGTGGTAGAGTGTCATGTTTAAGGTTAAGAATGTAAACTCTATAATAACATCTGAGTTTGAACTTCAGCCCTGTTTCTCAGCTTTTTTTTGGCTTTGGATAAATCTTTGCTTTAACTTCTCAGAATTTCAGTGTTCACATTTATAAAACAATAAAAAACAAATAGTGCTTTTGTAGTTGTATCAAATGAGATACTATTTAAGCACTTAAGCACAGTGTCTGGCACATAGCTCAATGAAAGGGGAATGATAATGGTGCTAGATGGTGGTAAAAAAAAAATACCCAATTTCCTTTCAAAGCAAGAATGAGAAAGAAAGCTACTTGGTCCTCATCTTCCATCCACCCACTCCCACCCTTACTCTCCAACCACAAGCCAAGAACAAGACTAGAAGTCAGGATACTTATTTGGCTTCGAATGTCAATTCTGTCACACACTAGTTATGTCATTTAACTTTCTTGAGGTATATTTTAGACATTAAGTTAATGATATTTTGCTTGCTGTACTGGCTTGTATGCATCAAATGAGCTAATGGATTTTAAAGCACATTGTGAACTGTAAAACACTGTATTCAAGGATACTTCAAAATGTTCATGGGACAACAGAGTTAAAATATAAGTTCAGTTTGTTCCAAACGTTTTTGAAATAATGCATAATCTTTTATAATACATATTTTCCATGGACTTTTTGAAGACTGCTCATAGATGCTTTTATCTACTAGACAATAAGATAGAAATTTTTACCAGTAAAAAGCAACTTTATCTCCAAGTTTTTTCTCATAGACATTTCGATCCAATACATTGTAGCAGATGTTGGTAGTTGCTCCTTTCATCCACTCAATGAAGATTTTCCCTTTAGTCACATCAAAGTTGTACTGGAGAAATGGGCCAGGGCATGGGGTCTTCCAATAAAATTCCTTCGCAATGTCTCCCCAAAATTCTGCAACAGAAAGGGAAGCCCACACATCACTGAATTTCTCAGACATATTTATCCTCAGACTGTCTTCCATTCTATGTACAGGACCACATTGCAACTTCCCTGCCCTCGGACCCACCACTGATTCCCTCCTTCACCTGTCTAATTTTGTCATCTTCCCCTGTTGTAACCTGTCTTCTATTCCCAAGGCCTGAATCTTGACTCAAAAATTTCCTTCTTTCCCAAAATTTTCTCTATTTTTTACCCTCTATTCAAATCATAGCCACACAGAACCTAGCACAATGCCTAGCACACAGTAGAAAATCAATAAATTTATAATGAAACAATCAGTGAAGGAAGAAATTCTTTACCCACAGAGCTTTTCATGATCATCTGTTTTTTTTCCCCTTGGTTTGTTCATTCTGTTTCAGTAGCAATTTATTGAGCTATTTATTCTCCTGCTACTGCTTGCATTAGGGTTACTCATTATGAGACAGATTTTGCTTTAAGGTCTTTATTATCTCATTTAGTCCTTACCACAATCCCAGGAGGTATGCATTATTTTCATTCTCATTTTATAGATTTAAATATCAAAGCTCAGAGAGGTTCAGTAACTTGTCCAAGTTTACCTGTGTTACTAAGTCAAGATTTGAACTTCCCTGAGGAAGACCTTTTTTGCTAAAATCCAAAAAAAAAAAAAAAAAAGAATTGTTCTTTATTCCCTTACCCAAAAGCAGTATTAACAAATGCAATGAGAGGGAACCAAGGATATAAGTTAAGAGGAAATGCTTGAGACCAAAACACTGAAAATAAGGGAAAGAATAGCAGGAATTTATGTAAGACGTGATGTATAAACTGGGCAGATGATGCACTTCCTCTGTATGTGATAAGGAATCTGGTATTTATCCTAAGAGCAATAGAACATTATTGAAGGTTTTCAGCAAGACAGTGACATGATCAGATTTACATTCTTAAAATATCTGCCTTGTTACTTTAGCAAATCCAGAGAATTTAGGATATTCCAAGTACTAATCAGCAGTCAGAGGAGACTGAGACACTTAAAATAGTAACAATGGGAAGAATCTTAGAAACCATCACCCCCATGGGCTGGTGCTGTGGTGTAGCAGGTAAAGCCCCAGTCTGCAGTGCTGGCATCCTATATGGGTGCCAGTTCAAGTCCCGGCTGCCCCACTTCTGATCCATCTCTCTGCTATGGCCTGGAAAAGCAGTAGAAGATGGCCCGAGTCCTTAGGCTTCTGCACCCCTGTGGGTGCAGAGACCTGGAAGAAGCTCCTGGCTTCAGATGGGCCCAGCTCTGTCTGTTGCAGGCATTTGGAGAGTGAACCAGCTGATAAAAGATCTCTCTCTCTCCCCCTCCCTCCCTCTCTCTCTGCCTCTGAATTCCGTAACTCTTTCAAATAAATTCCGTAACTCTTTCCAGATAAATATATAAATCTTAAAGAAAAATGATCACCCCTTCAATTTGTAAGAAACAAATTCATAGAGACTGAGTGATTTGTTCAAGGTTACCTGATTTTTACAATATAATTGGAGAGAGAACATTAATATATGAAATATTTTTGCATGTACAAAACAGAATACACTTGAAAACTAAATCGCACAGTTTATAACTTTGCAATCTATTAAAGAAATCCAAATTAAATCAACCCCAAAGTACCATTATACACCTATATAACTAGCAAAGATTTTTAGAAAATGATTAAACCCAATATCTGGTTAGCTCTGAGAAAACAGATAGTCTTACACAACAATGGCACTGTAAGAAATCAGCACAGTTTTACAAGATAGCAGGATAACGCCTATCAGAAACCATAAAAAATTTTATACCATTTTATCTGCTAACTCAACTTTGGGGAATATTCTCCAAGAAAATAATCCCAAAGAGGAAAAAAGTGATTACTAAAGAGATGTTTATAGCAACACTATTTATAATAGTGAAACAACTCAAAAGTCCAACAATAACACACTGATGAAAATTAGTAATACAAGTAGTAATACAACAGAATACTAAATGGCCACTAAAGAGAAAGTAAATGAGAATTGACTTTTAATGATGTCATTAATGTACCAAGGACTAGACTAACTTCATTTAATCTTTAAGACATCGTAGATCAATGAAGAATATATTAATTATCCTAATTTACAGATGAGAAGACTGAAGTTCAGAAAGCACAAAAAACTCTCCCAAGGACTACAAAGTTAGTAAAAAGAATACAGTTAAAAACATTTTTAAGTGATAAGAATAGACACAAATTATATAAAATTATTTATGGGCCAGCATCGCGGCTCACTAGGCTAATCCTCCACCTGCAGCACCGGCACACCGGGTTCTAGTCCCGGTCGGGACACCGGATTCTGTCCCAGTTGCCCCTCTTCCAGGCCAGCTCTCTGCTGTGGTCAGGGAGTACAGTGGAGGATGGCCCAAGTGCTTGGGCCCTGCACCACATGGGAGACCAGGAGAAGCACCTGGCTCCTGCCATCGGATCAGCACAGTGTGCCAGCCGCAGGCACTGGCTGCAGTGGCCATTGGAGGGTGAACCAACTGAAAAGGAAGACCTTTCCTCTCTCTCTCTCTCTCTCTCTCTCTCTCTCTCACTGTCCACTCTGCCTGTCAAAAAAATAAAAAATAAAAAAAAATTTATGGACATTTATGTCCATCAACAAAGAATGAAGAAATTGAGTTTTATGCTCATTTCACTTTTCTTTTCTTTTTTCTTTTTCTTTCTTTTATTTTTTTTGTAGAGGTGATGGGGTGAGTGAAGGAATTTAGATGTGTCATTGGTACATATTGCAAGTACTGAAGTTCAAAAGGAAAAAAGATGAGTATAGGTGGGGATGACCAGGGAAAGCTTTGTGGAATTAGAGGAGCAGAAGGAAATAACCAAAGGTAAGGAGGTGGGAAGGGACTTGTGTGTATCCGGGATATTAGGAAGAATGACTTATCTAGAATGAGGGGCATGGTAGAGAATAGTGGGAAATAAGGATGCCAGATACTTAGAGGCTTTGAAGAAAAACAGAATTTTATTTTGAAAGTGGAATAAAGAACTGTTGAAAGTTTTTGCAATGACATATGAAAGCAATATTTCAAGAGTATCAATCTAGATAAATCTACTAGAAAGACTGAAGATGATAATAGGAGAGAAGAAATTAGGAGGTTAAAGAGCGTAGGAATAGAAGAAAAGGCAAATCTAGAGACTTTTTTTTTTTTTTTTTGACAGGCAGAGTGGACAGTGAGAGAGAGACAGAGAGAAAGGTCTTCCTTTGCCGTTGGTTCACCCTCCAATGGCCGCCGCGGCCGGCGCACTGCGCTGATCCGATGGCAGGAGCCAGGAGCCAGGTGCTTTTCCTGGTCTCCCATGGGGTGCAGGGCCCAAGCACCTGGGCCATCCTCCACTGCACTCCCGGGCCACAGCAGAGAGCTGGCCTGGAAGAGGGGCAACCGGGACAGAATCCGGCGCCCCAACCGGGACTAGAACCTGGTGTGCCGGCGCCGCTAGGCGGAGGATTAGCCTAGTGAGCCGCGGCGCCGGCCTAAAGACATTTTTAAGGAGTATTTTGACAGAATTTGGTGAGAAGCATAATGTGAAAGTCGGGGGAAAGCAACAGCATTGTTTTTAGGAGTATAGGTTCTACAGTGAAGATGGCCTCGTTCAAGTCCCAACTCTACCACCAACTAGCTTTATGACCTTCTGCAAGTCAGTTAACCTCTCTAAGCTTCAGTTTCCATCTCTGAAAATGGAGATAACAGTTCCTACATCAAATCAAACTGGAATTGTGCTTAGCAAGCAGTAAGCAATCTATAACTTGATAAGATAAGTAGATACACCTCATTAGAGGAGAGGAGGATGAAAGAGATTTATGGTATGCAATAGAGCCATTGACACTGACAAGAATTAGAAAATAAGGGAGAAGAGCAGGTTTGGGAGGGAAAACTGGTAAATTCCCACCACAGTCATGTTGAATATGGTTTAACATCAAGGGATATCAATACAAAGGGTCTACAGTTTTAGGAAGTTGTGAGCAGAGCGTAAGTGAGATGCTGGGTAGAAAACCACTTACATAGGAGTTATCAAGGCAGTAACAGCTCACCCCTGGAAAAAAGACAAACTCACGACGGAGAAAGTATAGAGAGGAAAGAGTTGTGAAGAGGTCTAAGAACTCAAACCTGGACACCGCCTGCAGCAACCACTCTACACTTGATCCAATCTTAGCCCACTGCTCAGTAATCACTCCATCCACATTGTCCTTGTTATCAAACTAACCACCATCTACTGAATGCACACCAGGCACTCTACAATGCACACTTTACTTATTACCTATTGAGTCCTCATGCAATTCTATGAGTCAGGTATTATTCCTATCTTACTGATGAAAAGGAATCTCAGGTTTAAAAATCAAAGGACCCCCCCCCCTCAGTGAATGAGTGGCAGAGCTAAATGTAGGTTTTCCTGGATTTGATTCATTCTCCCTGCTTGACCCACCACCAAACATCACACTGCTCCCCTTGTACCCCATCCCCAGGTCAAGTGCAAAGGCAGGGGATTTTCCTCACGTATTTTAAAAGGCATGCGACCATCTGTCACAATCTCTGAGTTATTACAATCCCAGCCCAAAATTTAAAGAAAAAAGAAAACAAAATAATCAACTGGACGTTTTGAGAGGTCTTTAGTCTCATGGGTTACTTCCGTTGTGAGTTCTTGTATATTAAAAGTAGACGAGGGGCCCCACCCCCAATTTTCAGGGCTCCAAGATGGAGACCAGACCCGTTACAGTTCCCCAGCAGTTGAGATTAGTTCACGGGTTAAAGGTCTCCGAAGGCAGCGGCTGGGCTGCTGTGAAAGAAGGCAAAGAAAACCTATCCGCGGCCCTGCTCCGTCCCCTAGAGCTCCCCTGTCCCTCCCTCTCATTAAACTTAGGCTCTCCTCACGGAAACCCCCCTCGACTCTCAAGGAACCCCGCATCCCCCCCCCACAGACCCTCCATCTCCTCGTGGCAACCCACGTCTCCTCACGGAACCCCCAAGTCCCCAGGGAGCTGCCCAGCTCCGAGGGAACCCTCATCTTCTCACGGAACCCTTCTCGTCAGAGGATCCGCATCTCCTCCTGGAATCCCTTCTCCACCTCCTCAGAGAAATCCAATTCTTCCCTCACAGAGCCTCCATGCCCTCACGAACCCTCCACTTCCCACGGGAGCCCCACCACCCTCCGGGGAACCCCCGCGCCTCTCCTCACTGACGCCCCCAGGCCGCCTGGGCCCGGCCTCACCCCGCGGCTCCTCCACGGAGCTCCGGTGCAGCTCGCGGTAGCGCTGCAGCGAGGGGACGTGCGCGGAGCGTCTGACCTCGGGCGGCGGAGACCAGCTCCGAGCCCGATCCCCGGCTCCCGCTTCCTCCCGGCTCCCGCTCTCGTTGCGGCTCCCGCTGCCGCTCCGGCCCCGCTCCTCGGGAAGCCCCATCGCAAGTTCCAAGCCCCGTGGCCGCCTTTGCGAACGCCGCGAGTGCCCGGGCGCGGAAAACAAGCCGGCCTGGAGGCGGAGCCTCAGGAGAGGGGAGGGGCTTGGCGGGCGGAGGCGGGGCTTAGGCAGCAGGGGTGGGCGGAGCCATGCTCTATATGGGCGAGATAAAAACGACGGAGATAAGGAAAAGTCGAGGGATGGGGCGGGGCTGAGCTGCCGGAAGGGGTGCGGCCATAAAGTGAAAGCAGAAGGGGTGGAGCCAAGAGTGACAGGAGAGAGGGTGGGACCGTGGAATGACATATGAGGGGCGGGGCCAGGCGTGACAGGCGAGGAGGTGGGCCCGTGGAGTGATGGGGTGTAGCCGGGGCTGGATGTGACAGGAGAGGAGGCAGGGCCATGGAGTGACCAGCTTGGGGTCTTGGAGTGACAGATGAGGGGTTGGGTTAGGGCGGAGCTCGAGCGAGAAAAGGCTGAGCCAACGAGAGGAGTCGGTTCAGGCCCACCGCGGAGCCGCCCCGCGGTCTGATTGCACAATCCTGTCACCCCACCGAGTTGGCAGCCAGGTGGAGCAGGGTCCCTTCCGGGTGACACCCTTCACCCTGGGTGCCCGCGCTCTAAGCAACACCCCCACTCGGCTCTCTGGAAAATCTCCTACCGCGACCTTGAGGGCAGCGCCCGGGCAAAGATCCTCTTTCTACCAGTCCCGGGACCAGCTTAGCTTTTCCCCCACCTCTGGGGACGTCTTGGATTTCCTCACCTCCACCAATTTTCACCCAGCTGTAAAGTACAAGAACTCATTAAGCGAAGACCTGATGTTCCTTCGGATCTTTGCTAATGAACCCACCTGCTCACCGCTCGGACGATGAACCCAGGAAGGGGAAGTAGCTTGCGCAAGGTTGCAGAGTAAACAAAGGTGAGGGCCAACCTAGGTTCCCCGGCTCCAGGTCTGCTTTTACCGCTTCATCGGCTGAAGTTAAGGCTCGTGAAATAGCAGTCTGTGCAAGCGGGAGTAATTATATACATTCTCTTTGCTTCGCAATCTCTACACTCCACTAGGCGCTCCCTCCCACCCGCCATGATCTGGGCTGTTCCCTCCAATTTCCCTCTACCCACTGCCCCCGCCCCAATACCAGAAAATAGAAGCCAAGCAGGACCCTTCTTCTTCAACCTACATTCACCACAGAGACAGGTCCACCTCCACTCATCAGTTCACAGATAGGCTGTTAAGGCAAGAAGCATTTTTTTTAAGTTATCTATTTATTTGAAAGGCAGAGTTACAAAGAGAGAAAGAGAGAGAGAGAGAGAGAGAGACTGACTCTCCATATGCTGGTTCACACTCCAAATGGCCGTAACAGCAAGGGCTGAGTCAAGCTAGCCCAAAGCAAAGCCAGGAGCCAGGAGCTTCCTCCAGCTCTCCCCCTTGGATACAGGGGCCCAGAGACTTGAGTCATCTTGTGCTGCTTTTCCAGGTGCATTATCAGGAAGCTGGATTGAAAGTAGAACAGCCAGGACTTGAACTGGCACCCATATGGGATGCTGGCTTGGCAGGTGGCAGCTTCACCTGTTCAACCACAATGCCAGCCCCAAGAAGGATCCTTAAATAACTAACTCTGAGAATGATTCTGAGGCCTGAAGCAGGCAGCCCCTGTCTATGAAGTCTGCACAAAACTTGTGATCTTATCCCAGCCTCTCTTCCCATTTGCCCCTCTGTCGTACTCCTAGCTGACCGTAAGCCCAGAAAACCCTAAGCTGAGGAAAGCTCCCCTGATGTTCCGACAGGCTCCATAATGTACCCAATCCCGAGGGAGAGGACCTCGGGGCCCACTGTAGGGGTACAAGATCTTGCAGAGAGCAGATGGATCCTCCTGAGGGGACAGACACGTCACTGAGGCCACGTCAACTGCACTGGGGCCACACCTCTCGTGCATTCCACTAAGGGACACAGATCTTGCAGGAGTTCTCAGCCCCCATGGAAGCTCTGAGCCCTGCTAATAGCACATGAATGATACTGAAGGACGCAGACCATAACGAGAACATGAATTTCTCAATGGGAGACGTAGGAGATAAATGAGGCGTGGCCCTCTTGAGAGGACTCTGTGGGCTGAGGAACCTCCAACTTCATGGAGGGGGTGGATCTCTGAGGGAGCCCGCCTTCAAAGAAGTGTAACAGACTCTCCCGGCTTCACTGGGAGAGGAAGGCACATGCAATACACACTCTACATGCTGCAAGACTGGTTCAAGTCCTGGCTACTCTGCTTCTTTTTTATTATTTATTATTTTTTAAATGTTCATTTATTTACTTATTTGAAGAGTTGAAGAGGGGGAAGACAGAGAGAGAGAGAGAAAGATATCTTCCATCTGCTTTTTGCAGAAGCCCAGAACTGCACCCAAGTCTCCCACATGGGTGCAGGGGCCCAGGCACTCAGGCCATCCTCTACTGCCTTCCCAGGTGCTTTGCAGGGAGCTACAGCAGACGCACAGAAGCCAAGACTTGAACTGGTACTCCAAATGGGATGCCATTGTGGCAAACAGAGGCTTAACATGATGCACCACAATGCCAGCCCAGGCTGCTCTCTTTCTGATCTAGTTTTCTGCTAATGCATCCTGGAAGCAGGAAATGATGGTTCAAGTGCCTGAGCCCCTACTACCCACGTGGGAGACCTGCATGGAGTTCTGGGCTTCTGGCTTACTCTGGTTGGTGGATAGAAGATTTCTCTCTGTTTCTCTTTGTGCCTGTCGCTCTGCCTTCCGAGTAGATGAAAAGAAGCAAACAAATAAATATTTACCTATAGATGCATGGACAGTCGTCCTCCCTACCCGCTCCCCCCATACGGCTCTGAGCTCTCCTTCCTAGCCTTTCTTCTTAGTACTAGAGCATTAGCCGTCTCACTGCTGCCCCCTCCTGTCGGTAAGTAGCATGTCAGCTATTGCGCCTGGAGTAGATTTTTAGCTGCTCTGCCCGTAGAACGCAATAGAAGTCTGAACTAGAGGTCTCAAGAGACGGATCCTCACTCGTCCTTGTAGCTGGGAAGTAGTACAAGCTGTAATGTGGTTGGAATGTCTGAGAGTGGGGTGGGTTTGGAAGGATGAACACTCACAAGATTAAGGACAGGGTGGCGATGATGATGGTATTTGTTGGGTAGGTGCCAAGCCCTATATTTAGCACTTTCCACCCATTTTTTATCTTCGTGACAACTCTCTAAGATGGATACTATATTCTCTGCATATACAGATGAGAAACCGATACTCAGAAAGGTCGTGTGTCTTACCGAAGACCATGCAATTTCTGAGTGGCAGCAGGAACAGATGCCAGACATCCAGAGAGACCCATTCCCCACCTGTCTTGTCCTCTCCGCCCCGCCCCACTCCTGCCCTGCCTTACCACCATTACTTCTTTCTCAGAGTGTTGTTTCCAGAACCACATAAAAAACTCTTAAAACGACGGTAAACATTCGGGTCCCAGCATCTGATCCCAGCCTACTGAGTCATTATCCCTGGAGTCGAATCTGGGGATCTGCCTGAAAGATGCTAACCCACACTACAGTGTGAACATCACTCTCTTATGCAGATGGATCGGGGCCCCAGATGGGGTTGAGGTTGAGCGTTGGGGTGGGCGGGGGTATGTGAAGTCAGAGGAAGGCTCCATCTTCCGAGGGTCTGCCGATGAAGACCGTTCCGGGAATGCAGCAGAGGCTGGGGCGAGGTTGAAGGCAGAGTCTGAAGTCCAAAGAGAGGTCCAGAGTCCTAGGAGGATTCTGAGGTCGGAGGAGAGGATTTGGAGTTCAAGGAGAGGTGTGGGGTTCGAGGAGTTGAGGGTCAAAGGCAGGCTCTGGGGTCCAGGAAGGAATCCCAGGTCTGAGCAGGACACTGGCAGGATTCAGCCGGGAAGAAGGAAGAGACTTGACCCTGGGCCGCATACTTGGCCGTAGCCACTGCGGACGCGCTTCCCGGCGACCCTCTCCTGCGCTCCAGGCTCCCCATGCTCCTGCACCTGCGTGTCCACTGCTGGCGGGCGGAGGCGAGTCGGGCCCGGACGCCGCGGAGGGTGGGGGTGAGGCGCCCCCTCCCGGCCGCCCGGGAGCTCAGGCCCCGCCCTCCCACCCCCACCCCGCCGCAGCCACTTCCGGCAGGCGCTGCGCTGCTGGGGGGCGCGGGCGAGGATGGCGGCGGAGAACGAGGCCAGCCAGGAGAGCGCCCTGGGCGCCTACTCGCCCGTGGACTACATGAGCATCACCAGCTTCCCGCGGCTGCCCGAGGATGAGCCAGCGCCCGCGGCCCCGCTGAGGGGCCGTAAGGACGAGGACGCCTTCCTGGGAGACCCCGATACTGGTGAGGCCCGCTGGCTGGGTCCCTGCCCCGCCTTGGGAAGTCCCGAGTCCTCCTGCATCTGGGCGCAGTATCCCTCCAGCTTCCATCTCCTTAGCTCATCCCCTTTCCCCTGGACCTTTGCCTTTGCTTCTCTCGTATCTGTTAATTATCTGGTGGGGAGAGGGTGTATTTCTGTCTTGGACGCGTAGGATGCGACAAGGGAGGCGATGTCAGGGACTGCAGTGGGAGGGGTGGGATTACCTATTGGGAAGAACCAACAAGGCAGGAGCGTTGGAGGAGCGCCCCTAAGGACCAGCTGTGCTCGCCCACGAGAGGCCTTTCTCTCGCCGCGGAGGACAGGAGAAACCAAGTCATAGGCTGCACCAGGAGGCGCAGGGGCCAGTGTTGAAGAACTTCCCCAGGGAAGCTGAGCTCTCCCTGTCCAGGCCGGGGTACAGAGACTATGACTGCCCTCTGTCCGGCAGGGCTGGGTGTGGAGTGACAGGGGGGTGCACAGCATGGCCTCTCCAAGTCCTTGGGGACCAGAGTGCCTTCCCTCTCCTGGGGATTATCCCACCCCTTCTGGAGCCATGAATCTGGCTACGGCCTAAGTAAGTGTCTGGAATTCTGCTGTGTTCTCCGTCTTCTGCAGGAACTGCAAGGACGTGGGGGAGGGAAGGAGGAAACAGGATTTGGGAGAGACCTGGAGGTCATGAGCTCTCTGAGCATCTCCTGGTGCTCTCCCTTGCATGCATGTGGCTCTCCTCTCTCCTCCACTCCATCC